GAAATGTGCAAAGACGCTGTCGAACTACAATCAGCTACAGATACTGCAGCTTTTATGCAGTGAAGTGATGCAATTAAAGGCTAATATTGCATCATCTCAGTATACATGCAATTTTCTATTGGTCACCAGTATCAATTGCGCAATATGCAGCTGAAGTTGCATCATAATTTTGAATGGCTTACGTCATTAGATGGGTGAATATATCATGGAAACTAGAGCCAATCAACATTTTTTAGGGTCATCTTCGTTTTCAGCACCCCAAAATTATGTCAGATTAGCTAATTTTATGCCCAAAACTTTTTACCTGTTGAACAGTGTAATGGGAAATGATTTGTGTATTATGACACGCAGATCTTCCTGGTGACATCTATACTGGGGAGTGATCAGTGAACAGCTCATAAACAAACAATCCTCACACCAGCCTTATCTTGGGGAAACAATAGTAAACAGCTGGGAAAACTATTTTCAGGTGATCAATTTGTTTCTCAAAATCAGGCATCAAGAGGCTGCAGAGATCAAAAATGCCTACATACATGTAATAATATTTCTTGCATTCACTATATTATTTAAATGGCCTTTATGGGGATGGACCAAGGGTAGTGCAGAAAAGGATGCTGCCTTGGGCACTTCAGTGGGAGAAGAGTGCAGAAGGGGCAGAATCTGCAACCTATGCTGTTGAAGTAATTCACAGCTCATAGGGGAAGGAGGAGCGCACTTTGCCTTTTAGTTTGGGTGCTCAATGACCTTGCCTCTCCACTGGGCCTGTATGATGCTTATTAGGCAAAAAGGTAGCATTCCAAGGTTAGTAAGTGGTAGCAGGGATTTCCTATCTCTGTAACCCTATCTTGAAAAAGCAAAATCCTTAAAACAAATATTAGAACATCTGTTTATATCTTTACTCTCACATTTTTTTATACTGGAACACTTTTATACACATAAAGGGAACTGATGCAACATAAATAAGCTCATCACTGTACACTATACACTGCTCAAAAAAAATTAAAGGAACACTTTGAAAACACATCATATCTCAATGGGGAAAAATATCATAGTGGATATCTATACTGATATGGACTGGGTAATGTGTTAGGAATGTGAGGATGCCCCATCGTTTGAAGGAAATGAAATTATCAACCTACAGAGGACTGAATTCAAAGACACCCTGAAAATCAAAGTGCAAAAATGATGCAGCAGGCTAGTCCATTTTACTGAAATTTCATTGCAGCAACTCAAAATGGTACTCAGTAGTTTGTATGGCCCCCACGTGCTTGTATGCATGCCTGAAAAAGTCAGGGCATACTCCTAATGAGATGACGGATGGTGTCCTGGGGTATTTCCTCCCAGATCTGGATCAGGGCATCACTGAGCTGCTGGACAGTCTGAGGTGCAACCTGGCGGCGTCGGCTGGACCGAAACATAATATCCCAGAGGTGTTCTATTGGATTTAGGTCAGCCGAGTGTGGGGGCCATTCAATGGTATCAACTCCTTCATCTTCCAGGAACTGCCTGCATACTCTCGCTACATGAGGCCGGGCATTGTCGTGCACCAGGAGGAACCCAGGACCCACTGCAGCAGTGTAGGGTCTGAAAATGGGTCCAAGGATTTCATCCCAATACCTAATGCCAGTCAGGGTGCCATTGTCTAGCCTGTAAAGGTCTCCATGGATATGCCTCCCCAGACCATCACTGACCACCATCAAAACAGTCATGCGGAATGTTACAGGCAGCATAACATTCTGCATGGCTTCTCCAGACCCTTTCACGTCTGTTACATGTGCTCAGGGTGAACCTGCTCTCATCTGTGAAAAGCACAGGGCACCAGTGTCTGTCAATTCTGGTGTTCAATGGCAAATGCCAATCAAGCTCCATGGTGCAGGGAAGTGAGAGCAGGGCACCCTAGAGGATGTCAGGCCCTCAGGCCACCATCACGATGTCTGTTTCTGATTGTTTGGTCAAAAGACATTCACATTGGTGGCCTGCTGAAGGTCATTTTGTAGGGCTCTGGCAGTGCTCCTCCTGTTCCTCCTAGCACAAAGAAGCAGATACTGGTCCTGCTGATGGGTTAAAGACCTTCTGCGGCCCTGTCCAGCTCTCCTAGAGTAACTGCCTGTCTCCTAGGATCTCCTCCATGCTCTTGTGCTGGGGGAGACACAGCAAACCTTCTGGCAATGGCACGGATTGATGTGCCATCCTGGAGGAGTTGGACTGCCTTTGCAACCTAGGCAGGGTCCAGGTATCACCTCATGCTACCAGTAGGGACATTGACCCTAGCCAAATGCAAAACTAGTGTAAAACAGTCAGAAAAGATGAGTAGGGAAATAAAATGTCAGTGGCCTCCATCTGTAAAACCATTCCTGTTTTGGGGGTCGTCTCATTGTTGCCCATCTAGTGCACCTGTTGTTAATTTCATTAACACTAAAGCAGCTGAAATTGATTAACAACCCCCTCTGCTACTTAACTGACCAGATCAATATCCCAGGAGTTTAATTGAGGTGATAATAAATAACAATTGTGCACTGCCAGAAAGTATAAATAAATAGACTCAAATGTGAATATGTGGCTGCAAACACATGGGATGTGTGCTCCTCCATAAAACTCAACAAATATGTATAAAAGTGTTGCGCTGCTCAAAAAACACAAATAAAAAAACACAAAGTCCAAATAACACCTAAGTGCATATAAACGTGGAAGTCCAACATAAAAAGTACAAATAATTACAGAAAACACAACTCTTCAGGAACTCTTGGTGGGAAGGACCATGAATCTACTGGAAAGTAAACCCACAATCCCTGTGCTGTAAATCTTTAAAGGAATACACCGCCACAGTGAGTATATGGTAGAAATAGACCCTCACCTTCATATGTGGATCCACATGAAAAACAGGACAAAAGGGCATCTCCCCTCTTAATGGGGGTAATGAAGTGATCTCTTCCATGCACAAAATCCTCCCTTTGTATATGGTCACTGTGTCATCCAACAAGTCTCCAAGCTGTCAGGTCGATTCTGCAAATGGAACACAGCAGACTCCGTATTCCACAGACCCGTAAAATTAAGCCAACCAGTTCAATATTGAAACTGTGGAATACGGCGACTGTTGTGTTCCATTTGCAGAATCTACTTCATTACCCCATTAAGAGGGGAGATGCCCTTTCGAGCTGTTTTTCATACAGGTCCACATATGAAGGTGAGGGTCCATTTCTACCATATACTTACCGTGGTGTTGTATTCCTTTAAAGATTTACAGCATAGGGATTGTGGCTTTACTTTCCAGTAGATACATGGTCCTTCCCACCAAGAATTCCTGAAGAATAGTTTTTTTTCTGCATTCATTTGTACTTTTTATGTTGGACTTTCATGTTTATATGCACATAGGTGTTATTTGGACTTTTTTGTTTTTTATTTGTGTTTTTTGAGCAGTGCAACACTTTTACACATATTTATTTAATTGACTTGATGCTATATTGATTAAAAAGCGTTCCTTTAATTTTTTTGAGCAGTGTATGTAAAAAACTTGTTTTTTTAGTTAAATCTTCTCTAGTACATGGGGACAGTCTTTTTGATCCATGCAACTAACTGCTAGTTGAAAACAATAGGCTCTTAGTAGTAATGACATAGTGGGGTTGATTTACTAAAACTGGAGAGTGCAAAACCTGGTGGAACTCTGCATAGAAACCAAATCAGCTTCCAGGTTTTATTGCCAAAGCTTAATTGAAGAAGCTAAAGTTAGAAGCTGATTGGCTACCATGCGCGCTTGCAACATATTTTGTACTTTCCTGTTTTAGTAAAACCAACCCCAGTATGTTTTTTAAGGTAACAGCAAAAAAAAAAAAAATTACTGTTTACCAAAGCGATACAGGGATTTGGTAATGCTAGCATGTGTTACTGATTCATGTAAGGTGTGAATATGTCCGCCTTAACCTCCTCTAGGCGGTATGATTCTTTCCGATTTTTTGTGCTGAAAGCGGTACCATTTTTTTTGCATGGAAATATGTAGTTTTTTATTGTAGGCTGTAATTCTTAGGATAACTCACTGAAATCTGTACGAACAAGAGTCTAGTAAACATCCCGGGTAGGATAAAACTTGAAACACGAAATCATAAATTATAATTTAATAAATAATCATAAAAAATATAATAATAATAATAATAATACATTTAATTCAATAATATAATCAAACCAAAAACACTGAAATTTGAAATACAGAGTCAAATTCGCACATCGCTGAGCAAAGTCGCAAAAATCGTTTTCAGTGTCTGATGACAAATTTCCCCACGAATCATTATCACTCAATTCTGCAAGTGGTTCTGATTTACTATCGCTGTTCTAAAACTGCTTTTGACGTAAAGGGATGCTTTTTGGATGCCATGGACTTTTCTAAGTTTCCAGGCAGAAAGAACAGTCAAAATGCAGGCAGGGCACAGGACAAAGCAGTAGGGACAAAATATATGTGAAATGCATTGAAACAGCAATGACAGCAAAAATGATATTTTTTTAAAATTTCAAATTTCCCGCCGGTTCCGGCGCCTGTACGTCCCAACGTCACAGGGACCGGAACACGGAAGACTGATGCCGGCATCGACCGGAGGAGATGGCCGGGGACGCTGCAGGGGACACATCACGGGAGCGAAGGACAAGGTAAGTGCTGCAGGGACTCCCTGAGCAACGCCGCATGGTAAGCCCGAGTGTAGCTCGGGGTTACCGCTCTTGGTACTGAAATTTTACCCCGAGCTACACTCGGAAAACCGCTAAGGAGGTTAAAGCTTGCAGACTGACCCTGCATTTTGCATATGTGGTATTGTCAGTCCATTTTATTATCCTATCCATCCTAAAAAAAAATGCCCTTATTGTAAATAAATTCAAAAACCAAGTTTAGGAATGCTAAATGTAGAGGCATTCGGTCACCTCTGGACACAGTAGTGGTTCACCATTTTTTATATAGGTCTTAACCCAGTACATGTTCCTCAATTCAGCTAACTGGTGAATTTGCTTGTATCTGTTACCTGATAAGATGGGTGTGCTGACTCCAGCAGTGGCACTAGTTGTCTGGTTGCAATTGTTTTCCAGCAGAAGGCATGAATTTCTGCTCTGCTCCCTTTTGACAAGCAGTTCACTGGTACAAGGCAGAGGAATAGGGTGGCTTAGTCCTAGTTCCTCTTCTTGGGCTTGCTGCCTTCGTAAAGCAACCTGAAAATGATAAAAGGAATATGAAAACAATTCCACTCTTTGCTAACAGCTACTGTTTCCTAAAACATTTTTTTTAATGTTGTGGCTCAGAAATGTTCAAACTAAACACTAATTTCCTACAGAAAAACAAAATGAATCTCTGTGTAAACAAATAAACAGCTAATATTTACTAAAGCAGTATGACTCAACAACCATCAGGCAAATGAAAAATGTTATATATATATATATATATATATATATATATATATATATATTTAGATATTTTTTTTCATTCTGATGACTAGAATGAATGAATGAACACATTGACGCATAAATGCGTATAGCGCTAAAGCATGTTTACATGCGACAAAATTCTCCTCTCCTGAATGCGCTGGACCTGGGTTTTTTTTTTTCTGCCTCTAAAAGCCTATGTGTGCATGGACACATAGAAGTTGATTTAAAAAAGTGGAGCACTGAGAATCTGGTGCAACTGTGCATGGTGCCCAATCAGCTTCTAACTTCACCTTGTTCAATTAAGCTTTGACAATAAATCCTGGAAGCTGACTGGTTTCTATACAAAGCTGCACCAGATTTTGCACATGCCAGTTTTAGTAAATCTCCCCCATAGACTAACAGAGGGAAGTTAAGAGGCAGAAAAATAAACAAAAAAAAAAAGCGCAGAGTTTTTTATACCTAAAACTGAATTCCAGGAAGTAGACAAAATCTACCCTTGCAGTGGGGCAAGGGTTACCTTCTTGTACAGTCTAGGGTTGCAGGAATGAGAAGCAATTCTTCCCTCCAGTAGGGTGGTGCAACCGCAGCCTCATCTCTAAAGCTGGCTACACACTTGTAGAATTTTGTTCAAAATTCTTCATTTTAAGAGCGTTTTTTTTTCTCAAACAAGCAAGTTTCTAAAAGTAAATGTTTTCATGCAAGAAATTACATTAATTCCAAAATTGAATGTTAAAAACAAACAAAATTTTGGAGTACATTGCATTCATCTAGTCATTAAATGTACAAATAATTTCTGTACAAATTTTCGAATTAACATTCATTCAAAAATCAACTAGTGTATAGCCAGATTAAGGCTCCTCCAAGTACAATGCAGAGTTAACAGGCCTGCATTGTACATGATGCAGCTTAAGGACCACCCACAGCCCGAAGCCCCAGCGGAGAGGAGGCTGGAGCTGGCCATGGAGAAGGTAAGGTAGTTAAAGAAGAACTCAGGGACAGCCAATATCAGCCATTAGTCAGGCTGCAAAGAATGATTATTTTCATAATTGATTAGTTGGCCTGATATTGTTTCAGTTAATCAATTAGTAGGATAAAAAACCTCAAAAAAAGGATGGTGCATAACTTCGTTAATATGCAAAGTTTAAAAAAAAATTATTCTTGGATATTTACATGCAGTGGTAAATATACTGCTCAAAACAATTAAAGGAACACTTTGAAAACACATCAGATCTCAATGGGGAAAAATCTCTGATATGGACTGGGTAATGTGTTAGGAACGTAAGGATGCCCCATTGTTTGATGGAAATGAAAATTATCAACCTACAGAGGACTGAATTAAAAAACTTCCTGAAAATCACAAGGAAAAAAATATGCAGCAGGCTAGTCCATTTTGCTGAAATTTTTTTTCATTCAGCAACTCAAAATGGTACTCAGAAGTTTGTATGGCCCCCAGGTGCTTGTATGTATGCCTGACAACGTCGGGGCATGCTCCTAATGAGACAATGGATGGTGTCCTGGGGTATTTCCTCCCAGATCTGGAGCAGGGCATCACTGAGCTCCTGGACAGTCTGAGGTGCAACCTGGCGGTCTTGGATGGACCGAAACATGATATCCCAGAGGTGTCCTATTTGATTTAGGTCAGGAGAGTGTAGGGGCCATTCAATGGTTTCAATTCCTTCATCCTCCAGGAACTTCCTACATACTCTCGCCACATGAGGCCGGGCATTATCGTGCACCAGGAGGAAACCCTGGACCCACTGCACCAGCGTAGGGTCTTACAATGGGTACAAGGATTTCACCCCGATACCAAATGGCAGTCAGGGTGCCATTGTCTAGCCTGTAGAGGTCTGAATTAAAAAACACCCTGTGCATCCCTCCATGGATACTCCTCTCCAGACCATCACTGACCCACCAGGGCACCAGTGGCGAACCTGCCAATTCTGGTATGGCAAATGCCAATCAAGCTCTATGGCAGAAAATGCTACAAATCCTCCTTCCTCACCTACACCACCTCCCTCCACGCCACCAAGCAAGCCTATTTCATAACCCTCATCAACACCTCTCTCCACCTGTCCTCGCCAGCTCTTCTCCACTTTCAAATCCCTGCTCTCTCCCCCCCACTCCACTCATTACCTCACTCACCGCCCACAAGATTGCCAATCATTTCCAAAACAAGATTGATGCAATCGGTAAGGACATTGTCAATTCACAATCTACCTCTCCACCTAGCCCCCCTCAATCCATCACTGACCCCCCTCAACTCTCCCCTCCTCTGACCTCGTAACCGCAATGCCCCCCACCATACCTAACGCCCTGCACACTATCACCTCCCCAACGCTCTGCTCCTTCAGCCCCGCTACCACTGAGGAGGTCACTAAGGTCTTCATTGAAGCCCGCCTCACCACTTGCCCCCTGGACCCTATCCCCTCACAGCTTCTCCAGTCACCCCCCCTCCTCCATCATTCGCTCCCTCACCCACATCTTCAATCTCTCCCTCTCTACTGGCACATTCCCCTCCCCCCTAAAGCACGCACACATCACCCCCATACTCAAAAAACCCTCCCTTGACCCCACTGACCTGAACAACCTTGGACCCATCTCCCTGCTACCATTCACTTCCAAGCTCCTTGAGAGCCTGGCCTACAATCGCCTAAGCACCCACCTCTCACTGATAACAACCTCCTTGATCCACTACAGTCTGGCTTCCGTCCCCTACACTCCACCGAAACCGCCCTACTTAAAATCACTAACGACCTGCTAACTGCCAAAGCTAATGCCACATTACTCAGTCCTCCTGCTCCTCGACCTCTCCGCGGCCTTCGACACAGTCGACCATCCCCCTCCTCCTTACTAAACTGCACTCCTTTGGCATCAGGGACGCTGCTCTATCCTGGTTCTCCTCCTAACTATCCCAACGTGCTCCTTCAGCGTCACCAATAAAGCTGCCACCTCCCCCTCTCTGTTGGAGTCCCCCAAGGCTCTGTCCTCGGACCCCTCCTCTTCTCCCATTACACCTCCTCCCTTGGCAAACTGATACACTCCCACGGCTTCAACTATCACCTCTATGCCAACGACACACAAATTTACCTCTCCACCCTCACCTCACCCCCTCACTCTCCGCCCGCATCGCCCACCTCCTGAACGACATATCAGACTGGATGTCGCTCCATTTCCTCAAGTTAAACCTGTCCAAAACCGCAGCTCCTGGTCTTCCCCCCCAGCCCCCCCCCCCTCATCCTCTCCATCACGACTAGCAACGCACCATCAATCCCACCCCACACGCCAAAGTCCTGGGTGTCACCCTGGACTCAAACCTTTCCTTCCAACCTCATGTCCAATCACTATCAAAGTCATGCAGGCTCCACCTCCGCAACATCTCCAAGATACATACATTCCTCACCCCAGACACTACTAAACAACTCGTACACTCCCTCATCATCTCACGCCTGGACTACTGCAAACTCCCTTCTCACTGGCCTACCCAAACAAATGCTATCCCCACTCCAGTCTATCCTGAACTCAGCGGCTAGACTCATCCACCTCACCAACCGCTCCACATCTGCCTCTCCCCTCTGCCAATCCCTTCACTGGCTCCCGATTGCCCAGCGCATCAAATTCAACTACAAACTCTGACCTACAAAGCCATTCACAACGCCGCCCCAAACTACCTAACTGACCTGATACCCAAATACCACCCTACCCTGTGCCCTTCGCTCCCACAGGACCTCCTACTCTCTAGCTCCCTGGTCTCCTCCTCCAAAGCCCCGACTGCAGGACTTCTCCAGGACTTCCCCCATCCTCTGGAACTCCCTACCCCAATCCATCAGACTGTCACCTACCCTCCTCACCTTCAGGCGCACCCTGAAAACCCATCTCTTCAGGGAAGCATACCCCACCCTCACCTAACAACCGATCTCCTCCAACCACTCCATCCCCCACAGCCACTTCCTCCTGTACCACTATCTCCTCCCTCCTAGATTGTAAGCTCGAAAGAGCAGGGCCCTTGAACCCCTCGTATTGTATTGTTTACTGTATTGTCTCATGTTCTGTCCACCTCGCTATTGTACAGCGCTGAGCAAACCCTTTGGCGCTATATAAATACTGTATAATGTATAATAATATGGTGCCAGGCAGTGAGCACAGGGCCCACTAGAGGACGTCGGGCCCTCAGGCCACCCTCATGAAGTCTGTTTCTGATTGTTTGGTCAGAGACATTCACACCAGTGGCCTGATGGAGGTCATTTTGTAGTACGCTGGCAGTGCTCATCCTGTTCCTCCTTGCACAAAAGAGCATACAGTGGGGCAAAAAAGTATTTAGTCAGCCACCAATTGTGCAAGTTTCTCCCACTTAAAAAGATGAGAGAGGCCTGTAATTGGCATCATAGGTAGACCTCAACTATGAGAGACAAAATGAGAAAAAAAAAACAGACAATCACATTGGCTGATTTGGAAAGAATTTATTTGCAAATTATGGTGGAAAATAAGTATTTGGTCACCTACAAACAAGCAAGATTTCTGGCTCTCACAGACCTGTACCTTCTTCTTTAAGAGGCTCCTCTGTCCTGCACTCATTACCTGTATCAATGGCACCTGTTTGAACTTGTTATCAGTATAAAAGACTCCTGTCCACAACCTCAGTCACACTCCAAACTCCACTATGGTGAAGACCAAACAGCTGTCGAAGGACACCAGAAACAAAATTGTAGACCTGCACCAGACTGGGAAGACTAAATCTGCAATAGGCAAGCAGCTTGGTGTGAACAAATCAACTGTGGGAGCAATAATTA